CTTTTTATTTTTTTAAATTTTTTGTATAACCCTGAATTTTACCCGAGTACTCGGCTTAGCAAAGAGCCAAGTCTGAGTAATTCGATAGCGTTCGAGTCGACTCGGTAGCCTCCCTAAATGCTGAAAAGTCAGCATATTATTTATATTTGGAACAAAAGTGCATATCTTCTCAGTTCCATTTCTGTGCAAGAATCAGGGCATCGAAGTTGACTTCTATCTTTTGTAATATGCTATTCATGCTCATAAAAGTACTTAGTCTTTATATGTCGAGTATAAGTTTTCTTCAATGTGAGAATTCAGAACTTAGAAGTGCTTCAATTGTAACAGAACTCATTTGGAAATTTTTGCTTTTGAACAACAAGTATATTCATAATTCAAAAAAAACAGTTCTTGCTAATTTTTTTTAACTTTATATTTTGTCTTTTTGTTTTGAGGATTTATCAGCATTCTACCTTATATGTCATAATTGCGAAATATGTTGTGTTTAATAGATGGATTGAGAAGAACATATCTTCGGCAAATGTATAGGTCCGACAAAACTATCTTTTGAACCGGATCTCTTCTATGGGTTGTACATCCTTTTCCATCGACACAATGGAGACCCACTCTCATCGAGGCATCAATGGCTGATGGGATGGCCGCATGGATCCACAATATTATATACTTTTTTTTTTAATACAAATTATGGGCTTATTAACAAAAACAAATTATGGGCTCATTAACAAAGATCTAAAATGTGCACTTTCTTAACATATGTAATATGGTATTTTCTCCCCAAAGTGTTCAGGTTGTGATGAATAAATGTATATTATAAGATGTTCTCCATTGGGATAAAACCTCAAGAAATTGAAACATTCATCTCTATTTTATCACCAAAGTTCATGACGATGTAGATATTCTTGTCTGGTGCTGTAGTCTATCTAAAATGGAAATATGGTAGTTTTAAAGACGATACTCATGCTCAAACCATCCCCTGCGGCTTTGTAGCCATCAAAAGAAGAATAAAAATAAATTATATGGAACATTTTGTTTATGATGAAAGAATAAAGGAAGTAAGGTTTATGGTTTCTTTTGGGCACTTGATTTACTTGTAACAATGTTAACATCTGACTCTTTTTTTCTTTTTTCTTTTTTCTTTTTTTATCTCATAAAAGAATAAAAATATGGCAGTAATAATCATAAAAATAAGAAAAGAATGAGTAACACGCCTTAGATTCTGTTGTCATTGTTTCCCAACATGGTTATTGGCTTGATCGTTGATACTGATAAAAAAATTATTTACTTGGAATGGTTGATTTTGGAGGATTCCCCATCCAAGAGCATGATAACCTCTCTCAATGTATGCACACCCCTCTCTCACATTAATTAGGGTCTTGATATTATACAAGTGAAAAAAACCCTAAAAGGAGGCACACCCAAGCCATTTGCTTATATAAACTATATTAGCTTCTACTTATTTTTTGTTATTTTTCTCTCTCTTTACTATAAACTTTTTCCGCACTCTCAATCAAGAACGTATCTTTTTTTTTTTCCTTGGTATCAATATTTGTGGCAATTTAGTTATCATTGCTATCAATATTTGTGACAACTTTTGGGGGCACTTTGGACAAATTACATTTATAAGTTATTTATTTGGAAAAATTATGTAAATATCCGTTATATTTCCCCGTTATTACGAAAATACCTAAAACTTTCCGTTATTATCCATGTGTCCGTTTTTCCAACTTCATAAAACTTTTTTTTAAAAAGACAAAACTGCCCCTTTTTTGTTTTTGAAAAAATGATTTTTTTTTAAAAAGTGGATTTTTCAAAAACCAAAATTTTTTAATTTCGCTTTTTGAAAAAATCGAATTTTATTGCTTGTAACTTGGCATGTTAAAAAAATTTAATAATAATAAATTTTTGAATATATATATATATATAATACGATTTAAAAAAAGTGATAACCAAAAAACCCAATTCAACCCCTAGTTTAAATATTTGGACATACATAATATTTATGTTTAAAAAATCCTGTTTTTGAAATTTGATTTTTCAAAAACATAAATTAAAAAAATTTGGTTCTTCTAAAACATGAAATGGGCAATTTCATCTTCTTTAAAAAAAATATTATGAAGTTGAAAAAACGGACATCTGTGTAATAATAAAAAATTTCAGGTATTTTCATAATAATAAAAAATATAACACATATTTACATATTTATTCCCTTCAATAAAATATCTTAAAGTAGGTTTACTATTTTATAGCAAAAAAGATAAAAGTTTACTCTGTACATTTCAAAATTCTTAATTTAAATTTGTGAGCAAATAGTTGTTAACGGCAATCGACTAATATGATTTACAATTGAGAACGTGTGAGACATTTTTTAAAATCTTTAAGGAACCAGAAATTGCCATGAATGCAATTAAAATTTATTAAATAATTCGCATTTTAAAAAATAAAAGTACTCCCATATGTAGTTTTAGACTATATAAAATAATAACTTCAAAAATAAAAACTAAGGAATTGATATTCTATTTTGTAGTAAAAAATTATTATACTTTTAAAAATTTAAAGTAAAAAATTTTGAATTTAAAATTTCTGAAAATTAATTACAATTAAATATTGTATAAAAAAAAGAGATAAAGTTACCTAGTTGCATTTATGAAATTATTCTAAGAAATTTAGAAGGTAAATTTATAAAAATAACCCAACCCAATGTTGTTTTTGAAATTTTCGAAATATCCTCAATATTTTGTATTTTACCTTTGTCTCATTTTCAAAAATGTGTTTCAGTCTTTTTTTTTTATATACATCAAATTTAACTAAATTTTTTTATATCTTTACTGAAATATAAAAAATGATTAAATAAAAATTGAATGACCAAAATATCTATTATCTGTACACATTTGAGAGGTCTTTTGAAATTTTTATAAGGGCTAGGCTTTATGTAAACAAAACAATGCCTCACCTCAAATATTCATCCATAAAGCATTTTTGGCAATAAAAATTTCCATGATAGCTCTGAAATCAATTTCCAGCACAGACATTAAAATTCAAAACTTGAAAAATGGTATAGTTCTTACGGATCTATGAACACTTATGTTTAGGGTGAAATGGACGATCTAGTTAATTATTTTTAGAGCTCAAAATCCTAATTTTTTTTACAAACTTAATGTTCAAGCTGAGATGATAGATGTAAAGGTATTCAATGTTTGAATTGCAAATTTTTATGAATTATGAGGCGAGGCTTTCCTTATTTTGATAGGGTTGCCACCCTATCAAACCATTTTCCTTATGTAATTTTTTTTATTTGAAATTATTATTTTAAGTTTTACTTTACACATATACAATAATAAAAAATAGAAACAGTAAAAAATTACGCTTAATCCGATGTATACGAAAACAGATTGTCTACAAATAGACCATTCATCTTTTGAAAATTTTTATATAAGGTTGCAACCTTAAATTACATATGCACCTCAAAAATCCATCGGGAAATATTGTTTTAATGTTAAAAAACCCTCTAATTGATCATCTCGACATCAAGATGTATGAATATAAAAAAAAAAATACAAAAATTGAGTTCCAAAAATAGTGCATCTTGCAATACATTATCTAAATCGTTCGTTTTCAATATTTCCATATGTTTATAGATCTAATTGACTTTAACCATTTTTTAAGTTAATTTTTTTATAATTAGTTATGAAAATAAATTTTAAGATATTCCTATGAATTTTTATATGAAATTACATCTTATGATAAAATTTGGAGGTGCGTTTTAATTGGATTGTTTAAGGGTTGCAACTTTATAGAAACCGTATTTTTTATCTTTTGTACGTGGAGGTTACAATCATTTTCACTCATTAGATGTCAAATTGGATGACTTGTGGTGAGTCATGAAGTCCGATTTTTTTTTTTAGAACTTTATGTCTATTTAATGACACTCTTACAATCACCCATTTTGAAATTTAAAGGGCAATAATGATTGTGACCTATATCTACAAAAAGATAAAGATAAAAATTTATATAAAGTTGCAACATTAAAATGTAGAATTAAATATGCATCTAAAAAATTCAATGGAAAATGTTATTTTAGTGTTGAAAAATCCTCTAATTGATCATCTCGATGTGAATATGCAAAAAAAGAAGATTTTGAGTCACATAAATAGTGCATATTGCAACACATTATCTAGATTCTAGACCATCCATTTTCAAGATTTTCATATGTTCATAGATCTATTTGATTTTAACCATTTTTAAATTTTATAATTAGATGTGAAAATAAATTTTGAGATAATCCTACAAATATTTTATGCCAAAATTATATGTTATGATAAAATTTGGAGGTGCGTCTTAAGGTTGCAACGTTATAGAAACTACACCCAAAGATAAATGGTCTTTATAGACTTTCTTATAGGGAAGGGTATGGTTTTTATAAGGTTGTAGCCTTCAACAATCCAATTAAGGTGCGCCTCCAAATTTTATCTAATGTTGGTGTAAAAAAGCATTAAGATTATTTTAAGATCTATTTTCATATATCTAATTATAAAATTTTAAACTTCAAAAATGATTAAAATCAAGTAGATCTATAAACATATGAAAATCTTGAGAATGGACGGTCTAGATAATGTGTTGCAAGATGCATTATCTACTCAAATTTTAATTTTTTATTTTTTTCATATTTATACATTTCAATGTCAAGAAGATCAATTAGAGGGTTTTTCAACATTAAAATCACATTTTCTAATGGATTTTTGAGGTGCATATATAATTCTACATTTTAATGTCAAAATTAAAATACCATCGTACTGCTCTAAAAGGTGAGACATAGGGCTAGGTACTAAACTTTGGCAAGGAGCCACCCCGGCCCTATAATGGAGCCTGGGTCCCTATAATTGGGCTGCAAGATTCCGCCCAGATCGCTTTTTGCAGCCGGTTCCCGGTCCCGCCCGCCCACCCCAGCCCAATCCCAACCCAAAGCACAAAACCCTAAATCTCGACCCTTTATAATCTCTCAACTTGAACGGATTCCAGTCTCAAGTCTCTGGCAAACCCTAATCCCTGAAACTCATTTCTCTTCCTCTGCGGTTCAACAATGGCAGAAACCCTAGTTTTGCGAGGTACCATGAAGGGCCACTCGGACATGGTAACGGCCATAGCCACACCAGTGGACAACTCTGATGTGATAGTCTCTTCTTCTCGCGACAAGTCAGTCCTCCTGTGGCACCTCACCAAAGAGGAGGGCACCTATGGTGTTCCTCGTCGTCGCCTTACTGGCCATTCCCACTTTGTTCAGGACGTGGTCATGAGTTCTGATGGCCAGTTCGCTCTCTCTGGTTCATGGGACGGAGAGCTCAGGCTTTGGGATCTCAACACTGGCATGACGACTCGTCGATTCGTTGGTCACACGAAAAATGTTTTGTCAGTGGCTTTCTCCATTGATAATCGCCAAATCGTTTCTGCATCCAGAGATCGAACCATCAAGCTCTGGAACACCCTAGGTGAGTGCAAATACACCATTCAGGATCAGGACTCTCACACTAACTGGGTCAGCTGTGTTCGATTCAGCCCCAATACCTATCAACCTACCATTGTCTCTGGTTCATGGGATCGAACTGTGAAGGTTTGGAACCTAACAAACTGTAAGCTCAGGTGTACACTAACTGGTCATGCTGGCTATGTGAATAGTGTGGCTGTTTCACCTGATGGCTCGCTTTGTGCTAGCGGTGGGAAGGATGGGGTGACTTTGCTTTGGGATTTGGCAGAGGGAAAGAGATTGTATTCATTGGAGGCTGGGGGTATTATTCATGCCCTGTGCTTCAGCCCCAATAGGTATTGGCTTTGCGCTGCTACTGAGGAGAGTGTCAAGATTTGGGATCTTGAGAGTAAGAGTATTGTGCAGGATCTCAAGACTGATGCCCCAACGAACAAGAACCAGGTATATCTATCTCTCTCTCTCTGCTTCATTTTCCCTCCTTTTCTCTCTATCTGCTTCATTTTCCCTCCTTTTCTTTTTAGTTGTGAGTGCCATACTTCTTTATCATTACAAATTGTGCTTTTTGATGCTATTACTTCCTATATTAAATTACAAATTGTGCTTTTCGATGCTATTACTTCCTATAAAAAATTGCTATTACCGGTAGGAATGGGGTTGTTATTGATGCGGTTTTGTTATTGTTGTTATTGGTGGGGGTATGACGCAATGGAGATTTTTGGATACTTCTGATAGAAGACTGGGTCTAGTCAATTGTTGTATTGTATTCTTTGGCTTTATTTCCAGGCAGTAATCATATGTTATTTCAATGCCTTGCTCATTTGTTTTATTGTTTTGCTTGTTTTTTTGCCATTGTTTTCTAGAATTTGTTATATTTGTAATATGATTTGCTTCTTTAGGTTTGGTTCATCCTTTTGCTGTTGTTGTTGTTGTTTTGCTGTTTGGTATTTGGTATGCAGGGGATTTTCAAAGCTCTCATTTGCATTGGGTTATTCTTTAGTGGCTTTTTGTTGCTTTATTCTTTAGTGATGATCCTAACTTTATTTTCTTTTGCTGTCATTGCCATTACTGGTGGTGTTTGCATATTTAAGAGGGAAATAATTGTTTCGCCAATGTGTCATTATTTTCTTATCTAGGGTTCAGCTCCCACATCTTGATATATTTTTTCGCCAATGTGTCATTATTGTTTCGCCAATGTGTCATTATTGCATGTCTTTTTTTATTTTTTCACGATCCATACGCTAGATGTCTGTAAACTCCAGCTTTTGTTGCATTTGTAAATTCCAATATTCTGAATGGGTGATAAAATAGGCTAACTGCATTATTTGGACTTAATTTAATGGTCATCTTTGCATGTTCAGTAGGAATAGATTTTTGCATCGAACACATCAGACTGATTTATGGGGTCACTTTGGATATCAGTTAGTTATATTTCACTGATGAATTTTGTGTTATAGTTTTTTACTTTGAAATGCAATACCATGCTTCTATGTAAAATTAACAGAGCATGCCCCAAACATGTTACTTAGGATTGCCATCATTGATTCCAAATGTAAACACATCTGATTCGAGCGGTGGTTTCCTTACCATATGAGATGCATTTGCATCTAGAGTGAAAGACGGAGATTATTGGTAACTTGTTTGATACCCTGAATCATGGTGTCTATATGATCTCTTTATGCTCGGATAAACCTTATGTTGGAAAGTTTTTAGCATATTAAAACATTTTGTCGGCAAGTGCTGATCACATCACTATGTATATAGCATGCTATTTAGTGTGCTACATGTAACATCAGCCATCTTCTGTCGACAGTGGATTGCAGATGTTGCATGTTGCACACTGAACATGTACTAGATATGCTACAACATACAAGCCTTTAGTTGATTATATATCTGAATTCATATTCGAATGGCACTTTATATATTGATTGTTATTTGTTGGCAAGGTTGATGTGACTATATGTATTGTTTCCAATGGGGAGTGATTGATCTTCTCTCATTTTCCCATCAGTAAAGAAATCTATACTAGTACCAGAGTTTACATGGCTGAGTTTAAACTTTTTTTATGCTTGTGATGTATCAAATATGGGAGGGATTGGTTGTCTTTTTGTATGGAAAAACGTCTTTGTGGACTGTTCATTAATTTTGGGATTTTGTGCTAGACCTTCTTCCTAAGGGAGATAGAGCAATAGATGTCATGAGACAATCAATTGTTAGGTTGTGTGATTTGTCATAGTGTGAGTATCTTTATGCACTGGAATATTTTAGATTCTTAGTGTGGCCCAATGATTTGAATTGTGTCTACTGTGTAGGCTGTGGCATGGCCTTCCATAGCTGTACTCCTATGGTTGACTGATGTTGTATGGGTCTAAGTCTAGTAAGGCATTTTGAAGTGCTTGCCTGATTGAGGGACATCCGGGTTTGATCGCTAATGAATCATTACATAGTTACTATAGTTGACATGAGCTGGCCACTTTTATGCTATATTTAAGTTGGAGAAGGCATATGCTTTTGGTGATGCTCTAAGTATCTTTCTTAGCACAAGTGAAAGTGATAGATATTTAGTTGGATGATAGATATTTTGTTGGATGTAAAGCTTTTAAAAAAATAATCTGAGGAAGAGCACTGTTGACGCATGACGAACTCTTGCAATCTCTATTTTCTTGTGGTTTTGGTTTGATTGTGAAATCAGATTGGAGGTGTTATTTCTCCTCTTATGAAATTGTGCTACTTGGATGGTAAATTTTTTGAAACTGGAGTCCTGAGTTGGATTTCTACCATTTTCTATCACAATTGGTTTTGTTTTCTTAATATATGTATTGCATTCAAAAGCCATATGGTGGCTCTTTTATGCAAACTTATAGTTATCAGGGTTATGTAGCTAGTGTAGGGGTGCTCGTGTTTATAGGAATGCTCTCTCTCTTTAGTTCTACATTAAAACTTTCCAAAATAGGCTATCATTCCAATTTATTGGGTACATTATTATTCAAGATTGGTCATCTAATCAAGTTAAATGGCCCTCATTCCAGAACCATGTGTTTGGATGAATCATTTTTGCACAATATCTCATTTTTGAGCGATAGAGTTCCTTTTTCTGAAATATTGCTTTGGACTTTACTCTGAATCATGGTATTTCCTGAAACGCTTATTTCATGAAATGGAACCTCAAGCAGCATCCTGCATATGGCTTAGCTCGTCTGTTGTTTGCTAGATTCTGGACTGTTCCTTCAATCCTGTAAAATTTGAGTGGAATATCCGCCTGTTTCTCTTTTGATATTTTGAATTGAATCCCCCTCAATCAATGCATCTATTGCTGGAAATGGTTTACCTTTTTTTTTCTGGACGAATGAAGTCCAGTCTGCTACATATAAAATGCAAAAGGGAAAAAAGAACTCCCTTTTACTTTCCATTCTTATTGTTTTCTTTCCTTATATTTCCTGAATTTGGCTATGCATCTACTATGTGCATATAGGGGTTTTAAAACCATATATATATTTTTTGGAACTTCTAAGTTGTGCTTAAATCTGAGTGGTTTTGACTTAGTTTTATGTATGTGATGGGGGAGGATGCTTTAGTTTCATGCATATGACGGGGGAGGATGCTTTTCCCTTACAAATGGAGCGAACCAGTTATGTTTGTATATTGCTTTGTGAACATCACAAATAAAGCTTGTACATGCTGATGGCTGCCTCCATTGACAGGGTTTGCCGTGTGTGCTCTCACAGTCTTTTCTGTGTGACATTGATGGTTGACCCTGCCTGTGGATGCAGTCTCTGTGGGAAGCAGTCTCATATTTCATCGCCTTGTGGAGCAGCGTTGCTAGCATTACCTCTTGGGATTGGCCATGAGAAGTACATCTTATTTGTAGTTTCTTCTTGGAAGCTTGTCTTTGAACTGTGATTGACCAGTTTTATATTATTTTCTGATTCTGTGGTATTGTTCTAGTTCGGAAGTTGGTGTTGAACTTTGGCATGGGTTAGCTGATGTTGTTAACCCACACTTCTAGTGTGTGCTTTTGGTTATTGTGGTCTCAGATTTTTTATTTGGTAATTTTGGCCTCTGTCATTTCCTAATGAGCATTTTTTCCCCTCAATAGGAATGGAAGAAACCAGTTTTCGGCAAGAGTTTTAACAAATGGTTAAGCAGATGATAGTTCTATTCAGATTCTGCAGTATATGATAAACCCGTTTTTCTTATGGATGATTATAATATTACCACTTCTCAGTGGATGGTAGCGATAATCTGTTGGTCTTTAGTCTTGCTTTGCCAAGCAGTCTCACAGTTTGTCTCCACCATCCAAAGGTTAGGATAGAGCATACACCAATCCTCTTATTAATGATAGTTCTTCACTCATGTTGGCAACCTTCAATGGATGCCATAATTGGTGTGGTATTGAGCCTCGTAAATTGTTATGTTGCCTGATTTTCTGGTTCCGCTTGAAGACTCCTTTCTAAGGTCTTTGCAATTGAAATGTGATAAGCCAATTTCCATCAAGAGTCCCACAGTCACAAACCAGATAGTTATTGTTCTTTAGGTATTGCCATGTGCTTGTCTAATTGCATAAAACTGTCTTGGTGTTGATCATTCTTCACTTGTATGTGTTTTTGAGGTGAATCATTTAAATTTTTTTGTTGTGTTGCATAATTTTCTGTTTCCATTTGGAGGTTTTACTTGGTCTTTAATATCTTTGCAATTGAACCGGAAGAAGTCAGTTTTTCATTAAGAATTGCAACCCCTTAAACCAAATCTGGTGTTGTTTACCTATAAACCTTTTTTATTATTGACATTGTTTTGCTCTAATTGCTATAACTTGTTCCATCATTGATGGTCATTCATCTTTTGCAATGCTTTTTTGTCTTGCTTGCAGATGCTGTACTGTACCAGTTTGAGTTGGAGCACCGATGGAAGCACTCTCTTTACTGGATATACTGATGGGGCAATTAGGGTCTGGGTCGTGGGTCGCTATTGAGTGCTTTTTTGATAAGACTAGAGGCAATGAGTTATCAACTTTGTCTGTCGATTTTTTTGCTATTTAGGATTCCTTTGAATCAAGAACAGCCTATCAAGATTTGGATGAGTGGTTAACAATAGATGTTGCTTGTCTTTTTGGGTTATGGTGATTTATTTAAGCATTGCAAATATCGAGAGATTAAACATGGAAGCAGATTCACCTTCATTATATTTTTATGGTTTATGAGTAGACTTTACCCTTTTTTTTTCTTTTCTTTTTTAAAGAGGCTGTTAAGGTACAAATTTCACTTTCAAGATTGTGGTTAGAAATTATCCATTGTGTAGGTGTTAAGCCCAAGACTTGGTTTCTGTTTCTCAGAAAATTGGGGTAATGTTTTTTGCTCTGGTGATCTAATAGAACACCATTAATCTTTTATGCATCTCATATTGCTCAAGAGTGCATGCGAGTGAAGCTCATTTAAGATGAGCAATTTGTCATTTCAATTTCGGTTGCAATATCCCGGTGACAATGGTTGGTTTTTTGGTCGGAGAGAGTGGTGGTTTCGGTCATCACTGCTAGCATTCGAGTCCGTTTGTTTCTCTGTTTCTTTGCAATTATTTGTGGGTCCCTTCCTCCTTGGGCAGCTGTGATTGAGAATTTTGATCAGTTGTGGTGCTCTAGGGTTTTGCCATTAAATAGCCATTGAAATGTCTTTTTGTTCTTGGTGGATTTTGTTTAACCTGAAATTTGTTCCGATATGGATTAGGACACATGTAGAAATGAGTCGCCTCTTAAAAATTTATTTTTGAGATGGATTTTTGGACTTTAACTTTTAAGGAGATAATCTCTAATATGAAGATCCTGGAAATAAAAAAATAAATATTTTTTGTAAATTAGAAATAATAATTGTATTAAGAAAATATTTGGTATGTTAGTTTCAATGACGAACCACCTATTTGCATTTATATTTTTAAGATGAATGCTTATACCTTGGGGATCGCAATTGTAGAAATGTGGTTTTTATGTAAAACAATTCTTCTTTGGATTATGGTATTGTTTTTGTGATTAGGATATTGTTTTTGGTTAGGATATTGTGTTTTATTATTAAAAGATTGACTAAACTTGAAAAATTCAATAAAAATAAGAAAATTTCAGGTAAAACTATTGAAAATTTGGTCAAATAGGAGCTTTTTACCGGAAACAAAAAAACATATCAACTTGTGTAAAAAATTAAATGTTGGAGGATTTGTTACTAAACCATATGATTCTATTGCCAAAGTTAATATAGCTTATGGTGTCACTATTTATAAAGTTGAAGTGCTTCATTAAAGAACTAGGTGCGTCTTTGTCCCCATTTAAGGGAGAGAAAAAGTGGAAAGAATTTTTAAGCAAAAAAAAAAATAAACGCAACAAAAAATGAAGAATGCATACAAAATGATAAGAAAACTTCCTTTTAAGCTTTTAGGGTGACGGTTTTTGCTATAAAAAAGATTTTGATCAAATATTTTGAAAACAAAATATTATGTGCAATCGAAATAGAAAATATAGAAAAAAGAAACAATAGCAAGAGATAGGGGTAGAAAGATTGGGCTGGTGATCAAATCTAGTCAACCTCCGGTTTTGACGGTTCTCAAGAAATATCGGTTTAATGCTCATTTTGGACGGTTCTCAAGAAATATCGGTTAGTGTTCATCTTGGATCAAATAGGGATTTGGTCAACCACCGGTTTTGACGGTTTTCCTATGGTATTTTTTCAAAAGTTTTTGGGATATTTTAAATGAGGACTTACTCGTCATGGTCAGAGAGTTTTTTATTAGAAGTCAGATCTTTAAAGGTATTAACGCTACCGTTTTGGCTTTAATTCTCAAAATATCAGTGAGCTTTCTAATATCAGACTTATTAGCTTGCTTACGAGTACCTATAAAATTATTGTCAAAATTATTGTTGAGAGACTTACAGAAGTTCTTCTCTTCCTCATCTCAAAGTCTTGCGCATCGTTTATTAAGGATAAGCAGATTACAGATAATGTTTTGGTGGCACATGAATGCATTCAATCTCGTGTCCTCAGTAAAGTGGTAGGTGTTATGCTAAAGTTGGACATTGGAGAAAGCTTATGATAGGGTGGAATGAGGGGTCTTGTTAGAAGTTATGAAATTGATGGGTTTTGGTGATAGATGGAGAAGCTGGATTTATGGGTATCTTTTTTCTGCGCATTTCACTATTTTGTTCAAAGGAAGTCTCATTGGTTTTTTCAATGCCTCTAGGGGACTTCGTCAAGGTGATCCTCTATCGCCTTTTCTTTATACCACTTATGCAGAATGTTTTAGTCTCATGCTTAGTAATATTGAGAGGAGTGGAGCCTTCACAGGTTTACAAAATTACAAATTCTGATATCACTGTGTCTCATCTCCAATATGCAGATGATACACTTGTGTTTTGTGATGCTAAAGCAGAACAATTGGAAAATATTGCAAGATTCGAAGTGGTTTTAGGGATCATAGTAAACCTTCACAAGTCGTCTTTGTTGATCATTAACTGTGGAGAGAGGCTAGCTGAGAATCTTGCAAGAGTGGTGGGTTACAAGGTGGGTTCGTTTCCTATTTTTTACTTGGGCTTGTCAATTTCGAATTCTAAATTCGATATTGTTGTATGAGACAAGGTAATTGAAAGAATACAAGTTAAGTTATATTTATGGAAGCACAAGTACTTGTCTTTTGGTGGTTGGGTAACTTTGCTTCGATCTTGCTTAGCCAACTTACCTGTATACCAGATGTCCTTGATCCAAATTCCAGCTTCAGTGGGGAGAATGATAGAGAAAATGATGGGAGATTTCCTTTGGGGATCGGGGGAAGAGCACAAAAAGTTCCATTTGGTCAGGTGGGATAGGGTTTGTACTCCCAAACGTGAAAGGGGCCTTGGTATTCGTAATATTAGGAAATTTAATGAGGCTTTACTGTGTAAATGGTGGTGACATAGTACCTGTTTTAAGGATCATCTTTGGTATAATGTGCTTCTCTCAAAATATGGGACGTACAACCACAATTTATGGCTCGGTGGAGGTAGAGGGATGGAGGTCTCTTACACTTAGAGCCATTTATAATTGTAGACCTATGATCTCGAGGTTTTTTAAATAGAATGTTGGCAATGGTAGGCAGGCCTTATTTTGGTATCATAAGTGGATTGGAATGTTCACCCTTAAAATTGCTTTCCCTTACCTTTTCCGTGTGTTCTTTGAACCATATTTGTTTGTTGGAGATATAGTAGAAAGAATAGGGGATAGGTTGTTTTGGAATATCAATCTCAAGTACAGGAGGCTGAGTAATGTTATTTTCTCTTAATGGTGTGCCTTGATGGAATTGTTGGAAAAAGTTTATATCTCACATGATGCTGTAGATGAGATGGTATGGGAGATTGAGAGTGATGTTATTTTCTCATTAAAATCCTGTTACAATTTGTTTTTTCATGATCGCTATTGGCGATCCTTTCCTGAGATTGTCCATATTTGGAAATGGCCTATTCCCCATAAAGTTCAGCTTTTTATCTGGCTTGCAGCACAACACAAAATTTTGACTATTGATAACCTTATGAAGCGATGTAAGATTTTGACTAATGTCTATTTACTTTGCAAACAAGACGGGGAATCTGTTGCACACTTGTTGATGCATTGCCATTTCTCCTCCCGGATATGGCACTGGTGGTTTAATTTGGTTGGGGTATGTATGGTTATGCCTCAGAAGGTATCTGAAATGCTCACACAGATATTAATGCCCTTTCTTCCTAAGACAGGGAGAATTATCTGAAAGATTGCAGTAGGTATGATGTTGTAGGAAATCTGGAAAGAAAGGAATAGAATGACTTTTGAAGGTGTACTTTTACCCTTCCAAAAGGTCGTTCTATTAATTCAGTAGTCTATTTGGTATTATCTTTCTGTGACCAAGGAGGAATGGGGAATTACCAAACTGGATGTCATGTCCAACCTCACCTATCTTTTTAAACTTGGAGTGAGAAAAGCTAGACCTAAGGCTTTATGGTGTGCTCCTCCCTTTGGATACCTTAAGATTAATTTTGATGGTAGCTCAATGGGTAATCCAGGTCCAGTGGGTATTGGGGTAATATATCGATATTGTTTTGGGAACACTATTCTTTCTTATGCAGGACCTATTGGTGTGACAACTTCGAAACTTGCAGAGATGAGCGCTTTACTCAGGGGATTTATTTTGTACACCGCAGCTTGGGGAACATTTGTATTGTTGAAGGGGATTATTTGAACGTCATAAAATGGTGTAGGAAAGAGCAATTTGTTCCCTGAGAACTTTGGTCTTTGTGGCTACAGATTTTGGATGTCTCAGCTTCCTCATCTATTTCTTTTTCCCATGTATTCGAGAGGCTAATGGGGTTGCTGATTCTTTGGCTAAAAGAGGTGTTGGCCTTGATTCTATTATTGTTTCTTCTTATGTAATTTCTTTTTAGCATTTCAATAAAGTCTTGAACATTGGTAAAAAAAAAGAAGAAATATCGGTTTAGTGCTCTTCTTGGATCCGACAGGGATTCGGTCAACCATCGATTTTGACGGTTCTCGAGAAATATCGGTTTAGTGCTCATCTTGGAGCAGACAGGGATTCAATCGTCGGTTCTGCCAGTTCGACCGCTTGTTCGATCTTGTTAGGATCATTGTTTTTGCTCGATCTTGTTTTGATAACTATGGTATAGCAGGAACTCGAATACAATCAACAATGGTGTAGGAAAGAACAAAAGGTGTCATTAAGTGGCATATTCGTATACTTTGAGACGTCTGGAGGTTTCTTTGGTAAGGCTAAGCAAGGAATCGCGTCTCATATTCATATTCTTTCAGATATCTGGAGTTTTCTTTAGTAAGGCTAAGGAAGGAATCTCTTTTTTTTTTTTCAGGTGTCGTTTCCATTTTGCATAAGGTTGCAACTTTAAACAGTTAAATTAAATTGCACCTCCCAACTTTGTCATTATGAGATGCAATGTCGGTGTCAAATTTTTTTAGTATGGTGTGACAATCTATTTTGATATCTAATCATATAATTTTAAACTCTAAAAATAGTTCAAATCATGCAAATATATAAACGCATAAAAACGTTGAAAATGAACGGTCCAGCTAATGTGTTACAAGATGTATTGTTTTTAGGACTTGAAATCTTTTTTTCCCATATCTTTACATCTTGATATCGAGATAATTAATTAGATATTTTTTTAACATCAAAACAACTTTGTTTTTTTTTTTTAAGGATTATAGATGTGGAGCTTAATTCTACATTTTAAGGTCTCAACCTTATATAACTTTTTCCATTGCTACGTTTTAGATAAAAGAAAGAATTACTTTCTATAAATCTATTAAACAACCTTATCGAAGAATTAATAGAAGATCATGCAGAACATTCATCTGACCACCTAATAAGATTAAAATCCCCCTATGCACAGAGGGAAATGAAATTTGCCGAATCACTCCATCTATATCATTGACAAAACTTTCTTTAAAAGCAGAGTCAGTAGGACCAACATTCATAATTCCCCAAGAGCACCCTGGGATAAGACCATGAAAGCCAAAAAATAGCAATCTATCTCGAATAATATTCTCAAAATTTTGAAGAACAAGAGGGTTCCACAATACCCACAAGCCACCAGATGCTTCGACAACATCAATACCAAAAAAAAAAGCAGCCCCTGAGCCCTAGACCTCTTTAGCCCTAGAAACACTAGGAATAGGGAATTTGGTCTCTTGAAGAATTAAATCAAGGGCTTAAACTTAGAAACAAAAAATAAAACATCCATCTTACGCTTAGGGTCACCAAGACCGCTAACATTACATGAGAGATTATGCATTAACAAGAAGGGTTAGAGGTGGAACCTGACCCATCAGGACCTGCTCTGAAATAGAGCTCCTCCAGCATCAATGCTTCATTGAACGCAACATAATCCGACAACTCCAAAGAGTGTGAAACAAGAGAAGCAGAGGAAACCTTCGAGAGATCAATGGTTTCTGGTTCCTTACCCAAAGACGCTTTCGGCTTCACAATGCTCTTAATGATGCCACGGCCCTCCAGGCAAGCCAAAGACCTCGACCTCAAAAAAGAAAACTTCTTATGCTTAGATGCCTTGCCGACGATAGGGGTTTTCTTATACATCCCCACACTGCTCTGAGCAATATCCGTCTCTGAGTTCACAGTCCTTCTAACCTTCTTAATATGTTTCACCTCATCAAAGAACACTCCAATAGGGATATTAAAATCCATACCCCTATCAGATACCATAGCTGCAACCTTCGGTTCTTCAGGATCAACATCAGCAGAATCAGACTCAAAAACCTCAACTTCTGATACAGAATCAACAGTTATAAACGCTCACCCCAAAAGCCATAAAAGGGACGCCTCCAAATGGGGAATAACTCTCAAAGGAACAACCAAAACAATCTTCGGGTCAAAAGAACTATCCTCTTCTTGCTCCCCCTCAATTTACGTAGGCAACTTCTGGTCTCCAAAAGCCAAAGCCGGATCTTCTTCGTCAGAATCCACCACCATCACAGCAAGAGGGTCAATGATAAGCAGATCAAACTTCGCTCTAGCCTTGGGAGGTTGACCCTTAATAGCAACACACTAATAACGCAAGGGATACATGGCTTTCTTTTGCCAAAAAAACCACACGACAACCCAGACTTTGAGAACCAGATCTAACAGCACTCCGTTCTTTGTCAAGAAAAGAAAAATGAGACTCCAACCAAAGAACCTTTTCTCTTCCACCGGCTTCCAAAAAGACTGCTTGTTAATATTGGAAAAATGCGGTTGCAGAAAATCCACTGCAAATGGCCATTGAATATATTCTTCATCAGTCAATTGCATACACAGAAAATGGCCTTTCATTTTTACATCGTTTGCCAAGGCATATCCTGCTGGCCTTGAGAAGGATATTTTCGTAAATCAATCCACTATCTCTAAGACCTCCACTAGCACCTACATGGCCAGGATTTTTAAATGAAACTACCATCAAAATTAAATTTCATATTTCCTATTAATTTGTATGCCTATCCTAGCTCATGTAGTAAATCATCTGTTGATATACACACCCTAAGTAGGGGTGGCAACGGGTCGGCGTCCGACTGATCCCGGACCCGGACCCTAATAGTATTTGGATCCAGGTTTAGGATCAGGACTCGACCCACTGGGTCCAAAAGTTGGACCCATTCATATACCAGTTGGGTCTCGGGTCTATCCCGTCGGGTCCATTGCCACCCTCACTATGAGGTTTTATGCCTTTTTTTTACCATCATATGCCCATATTATTGGCAACAAGGATACAATCACCAGTCAATAGATTTCAAGCCGTCTTATTTGTCGTTTAATAGCTAAAAATGACTGCAAGTACTTATTGCATACGATCCTTAATACAACCAAACGAATAGGGCTTGAAGCATTTTATCTCCAACAGTTTATGGATACAGGCAGGTCCAACTAGACCCAAACCCGGACCCGAATAGTATTTGAGTCTAGGTTTTAGACTCGGACATGACCCGCCAGGTCCAAATGTTGGACCCATACCGGGGCCCATGTTGGGTATACCAACGAGTTTTAGATCCATTACTACCCCTAACCCCAAGCTTCCTCCATAACCGCAGCCAAACTTTCAACAGCTACCTAGATTCGATCCACATCTTTTCTTCCATCGCCTTTCCTTAATGCACTCTTCTATTTCATTTCTTTCCATATTTGCATGGAATGTGGAATGCTCAAATGGTCTAGGACATAGTCAACTGATCTTGCTAGTGGATGCTGGATATTTAATTGATAGAATGCCTAATATATTTTTCTTGAATACTGACATCCTAAAAACAATGGTCCACTGTTTCCTCATCCTCCTTACACAAAATATGACAATATTGGCCTTCTTTCTCAACACATTCATAATTAATATCTGTTTGAGAATAGATGTCCATAATAAGTTTGAATCATATGTGAAAAAGGAAGCTTCCATATCTTTTGTAATTTAGGTTAAGTCGTCATGTTCCATCACAGTACACCAGGAAATACAAAGACTTTGTTGAGAATGTGCCATCATCAGTCCTTTCCCATCACTGTATCTGCTTTTTTCTGGCGATAGTACTCTTTTTTTGTTACTTGACCACCACCCACCACTTTGTTATTAATGCAATATTCATCAAGTATAATTATTTTATACGCGGTCTTCCATATCTCTAAGGAGAAATTCTAGTTTTTGTGCTCCTTATCCCTCTAGTTGTGAATAAAAAAAAGAGGATCTTCTTGCCTTATTCCGGTAGATGCTTAAAGAATCCTTATGCCTCTCCAGTTGTACTGAGAATTGGCTGGATGACAGTCACCCATGCGATCCACTGTCTCCATCTTGTCTTTAAGCCCAAAATATGCAAAAGCACTTCCCAATCAAGCCTCCCAAATCAATTTTGCAGACGATTTCCAACTTGTTTTCCGATCTTCTAGAATGAATACATCCCTTACATATTAAAATACCATCCTGGATCAGTGTCCCTTGAATAATGCAAATTGAGGCCCTTCAATAACACTCTGCAAAGCCATTTTCAATGTCCTTGATAAAATCAGTACAACGATTTTATACAAGCTCGTGAGGAACTCATATCTTGCGAGAATGCAACAAAGTTAATATATGAAATAATGCCTTCTCCTGAAAAACTTTTATAAGTGTGCGTGTCTACCATCGTTTCTACAATGTTACTGTCACAATTCAAGATGGATTAAGTTCTATGGTACAAGGAAAGCATATTATGATCCATATGGCAATAGAAAATCTATGTTATTTATCATATCATTACATCAAAAATTGCATCATGGAAAGAGTAGGACTAACCGCTTGGTAAATGCCATTACCAAGTAAACACTAGGAAATTCCTTGCTATAAAACAAATAGTGGCACTATAATGAAGATTAGATACAGATAACTCTCTCTCTCTCGGGTTTGCTCATCTGGATAATTCTGAGTAGAGCCAACATTAATGGGAGCTAAGCTTCACTCCAACTGTTGGAGTGGCATGGAAGGTGGCGGCTCTAGTTGCTGATACTTGGGTTTGTTCTTCTTCTGAAGAAGGTAAGTAATCCAGTACCAGAACATCAGAATCCGTCCTTGTTCCACCACTGTATCTTTTATGCTGCTTCCCCCAAAAGAAAGTCTCTCTAGGACCTGCCATGCACACCATTATTACAAACGGACTTGGATTAGGAACCACTTGAATAAATAAATACCAGGCTCAAAAGACCATATAGTTATTGGGGCTCCCTGATATACAAAATTCTTTGAAGCCATTATGGTTTCTAAATATGTGTCATATTCTACGCAACAAATCAATTTTCATAATCTTCAGGGGGGGGAAAGCAGTGAAATGATACAATGTTTGTTCTCTATGGAAAATTCATTAGGGAAAAATTAATAGATCTATTTACCTGGGGTCTTCATACTATTTGATTGAGCTCTCATCTAGATCAACCACTGCTATTTGGGTGCCCACAAAGGCTCCAAAATCACTTTCCTCCCAAAAATAAAATAAAATGGTGCTCCAATATCGCCGCCCCCAAGTTCAAAGCTGGGCTGGCCATACAATGAACAGCGGATTAGGTATTTGGAGCCCCAACTCAAAATTTATTTGAATTTATAGAGGAGACTGTTTTGGAGGCTTCTTTGAGCATGTCTTGGGGGCCTGATCCATTTATCACCCAATAACAAATGGTGGTTTAGGTCATGATCCAAATGAATAGTATGGGTAGGGTCTTGTTCCATCAAATTTGAATCCCAACCAGCCATCCAAACCCCAGTCCATCCCCGTGGTTATGATATCCTCATCAGGTGGGAAGGGGTTCCAAAGAGATTTCTTGGTTGTGAAATTCTCTGCCCACCCATATTCTCTCTCACCCCTTATCCGCGCTCCAACTGGAAAATAACCTTTAACACTTCTAAGGACCCCACCCCATAATGCTTTAGGTGTGTTTTAAACCTCAGCCCGGTGGCCTAGGCCAAATGGCCAATGGCCAAGGTGATACAGGCCAGTAGACCTGTAGGTGGGTACACCTGTACAAGTAAAACCTTTTCTTCTCACTTTAAATCCCTATCTCGAACAGGTAGCTAGATCGGGCCCCCTTTTTCTTCTCTCAAATGGGGGCAAATGTCCACCCCCCTTTTTCCTCTCTCTCAATACCAATTACAGGAAAATTTGCTGCATCAACAGATTCTCTTCAGGAGAGAGAGAGAGTCCCACTCAGTTGAATCCATTGTTTGCAAAATCCCTCGATCTAATCACTAACCGCCCCGTTAGATCGAAACCACCCACTCAATTGCATCCATTATTCGCAAAATTGCTCGATCTAACAGCTAACCGCCTGGTTAGATCGGAACCGGCTAGTGGATTTTGGGCGGTTAGGATGATCAACTAGTATTTAAAAAAAATAATTAAAAAAATGCATATAAATTCTAAAAAATAAGGAATTTGATTTGTAATGGATTTTTAAATATTCTTTACATTATGGTAAAGATTAAAATTTTTTTTGGTCATTAATAGTCACTTTTATATTTTCTCATTATTTTTAAAAAATTTAAAAAATAACCATTGAAAAATATAAAATGGGTTAAGATCCATTTTTTTCATTAATTTTCAACTTCATTTGAATGTGTTTTGCTTTAATAATTCTTTATATGCTTTTCATATTTTAGTAAATTTTTTTTGTTTTTTCTTATTTTTTTTCAATACTTTTTTGACCGCCTAGAACTTGCTTGGTTAGAGCGGTTGAATCGGTCGGTTTATCTATTAGGTTGGTTAAACCGTTTCCAGGCCGTTCCAGTTCGATTTTGCGAACACTAAGTTGAATCCACAACTAAGAGAATCCAAGAGAATCCACAGACGAAGTGTGTGGGTGAGAGATAGTCCTCAAATCTTAATTAAATTCACAACTTTCAGAGATCAAGGAGTTAGATAGAATCCCTTTGTCATGTGAATCAACCAATCTTGGAGAGAGAGACGTGGATTCACAGCCCCCTCTCCTTTGGGCCACATTCTTTCTCTCTTGGGCACGTGGCTAACCAAGCCTCCCCTTTCTTTTTTTAGCTTTGTTCGTTTTCTTTTGCTTCTTACACTTTTTTTCCTATTGGTTAGTACTTGGGCGAGTCCACTCAAGAGTTGCCGGAATAACTTGCCTCAGGCAAGTGGCTAGTACTTGACCTGACGTAATCTCTAAAATACTGGCTTTGACAATTTCAACCCACTCTCTCTCTCATGTCCGCATGCTCGTACAAGCACAAATGATAATCTTGAACTTACCTGTTCTCCAGTCTCAATGTCAAACGATTGTTGTTGCTCAAACTTAAGGCCACTGAATTCATTGATACATAGTCCTTGAAAAGCCCTGACAATAGAGGTGATGATACCATTAACCATCACCCAGACTTTTGCATAGCTCACTAAATCATTGAGTTGAGCTTAAATAGGAAAGAAGTTGCATACCATCTTATTAAAGAAACACGAGGAATCCAACGGAAAACCACTGGTGTGTTCTCAGCATTAACGTAATAACCTCCAAAAACAATGAACACTGTCATCAGAGAGGGCCCCAAAGCCATTGCTGCTTCTGTTGTGGAAACCATGGCCCCAACGGTCAAACCCATTGCAGATGCGGCAAATGACTCCATAGTCACAATACCACAGAATTTCCCAAACCTGTTAAGGCAAAATGACCTTCCTCAGTACTTTTTCTTTTGTGAAGAATTGAAGGTAACTATGACGGGCACCAGATTAGCAACAGTTTCTTCATTTCTAATCAATACTCAATCACCAAGTCAGAGTCTTCTTATTAGTTTTACAGAGTGTAGGAAATATGAATTGTGAGCTGTATGAAGCCTTTACAGCTGCAAGGTATAGAAAGTCAAGAAGCCAACATAAGCACTATTAATGAGAAACTGAAAGAAGAACCCATGGTAAAATTAGGAAAATTGAGCAAGAATACAATCCATCTGGCATCTAATATAAAGGACCTTCAAATTGTTGGAGAATAGGATGTTTGTTTGTATGGCATGAATGCATAAAAGAGGGAGGGGGACGTTGCCAATCGCACATGGGGTGGGATGTTTCCAATTATTGATGAGTGCATCCTCAAATATGGAGAGAAGTATAACCCTTGGATATCACAACAAGAGTATAATCTAGCTCAACCTAAAAGTTGGCCAATATTGAGAGAAACTAGGGAGAAAAACAGGGAACTTACCTAGATAAACTTGGATGAAGCCGTGTCATTGGATATAAAATAGTACCAAACATTAGTGGAAATGCTGCTCCTACAGGAATCTCAGCCAACAACTTAGAAAAAAGATAAGGTCCTAGGGAATAAGACCCCTTAGCTCGCTCTCTATCAACTATGGCACGTTCCTTAGGAAACACACCGACTGTTTTTGTGAGTGCAGCCATGGCAGTGTTTATGGCAGCAACCTGCAACAAAAGAAAGCACAAAATTTAATTAACACTATATTTCTGGTCACATGCATGGTACACCTACATCGTGGTGCTGAAAGTTGAGATTCCTTTTGTCGTTCTTTGGGGTAGTTTTGCTATGCTTTTCCTTTGAATCCTAAAAATTGGTAGGAATGAAGCTCTAGACATCACGATGTGGCACCCCACCACCTTGACAAACCATGCCTAGAGGCCATGAGTTGCTATTGGAGCGTCTTAATGCTTGAATGAAAAGGAGATGCCTCCTCATAGCCGAGTGGCATGAAGCTCTTTATCTCAACCCCTATAGATTGTAGGTTCAAATCCCATGTTTGTAAAAAGAAAAGGAGACAATTATCATTGCCTTTACAGTTGAGCACCCAATTGACTTCCACGTGGGGGTTTTCCTAACCAGTTTTGGAACCACGCATGTCTTGTTCTCTGTTAATTGAAGTCTATTCTATGAACAGAAAAACAAAACAGCATGACTGGCATCAATCAGAAAATAATATCTGTACTATTGTACAATAACCACCACTTTGCACTCCAATAATCAACCATAGCATTATTACTGCATACCTGAAGTAGACCCATCCTGTCCTGTATTGATGTCTGAGATCTTCCTATTCGCCAAAAGACTGATCCAAATATCAAAGCTGATGCAATAGACATTCTAGAACGAACTTTGTTTGTGGGCCCATCACGAGAAGCCTGAGGCAAAAACCTTCTAGAAGTTGGGTTTCATTCATAAATCTTGAAACACTTGATTGAAGAAAGATTTTTCACATATAGAGCTCTGAAGTCTACGCAGTAAGGTAGAACTACAAAGAAGATTATCAGCCAGTGCCTTTCATGAAATCAACAAAGCATTTTAAGAAACAATAATCATCTCTGTAGCTGCTTCACTACTCATAGGAACATTTTGTTTGGAAGAAATTCCAATCTCTATGTGTGTATGCACGTGTAAGACCATGATGAAAAGCTAGCATGAGATATAATTATATTAGTCAACACTTTGGGGTTATTTTTCCTAAAAAAATTTCACAAAACCTATGGCTGCATGAAAAGGATGAAATAACATCAGCAATCATTAGAGATTATACAACTAATTGAAAATATCTTGGAAGTACCTGAACAATAATAATAATTACAATAATATGGATAACAGAAGCAAAACAATAACAGTCACCTAACTCAAAAACGTGATAGTATGTGAAAATAACCTGCATCCAAGCACGCTTTAGAAGCAACCAGAATTGCTTCCACCAACCACCTTTCCTTTTGATGATAGCCTTCTTGCCAATTGTCGCTGGGTTCATGGTGGAGAGCGAACTTTCATATAAGATATGTGCCGAATTTCTTTGAAATTCCTTAACAAGGGTATTTATTCGCCTTTGGGAATCATTTACACTTTCAGAAGAACTGTAGTCTACGGAAATGAGGTCAGCCAAAAACTCAGCTGGATTCACATGTTCTGCACAATGAAACCTGGATAACTATTTCTGTCAGCTGACAACCTAGCTGGAATTTTTCTTCTTCTTCTTCTTCAAAAAAAAAAACCTAGCTGGAATGCCCTAAAACGTGGTTCAAGATGATTCCATCCATAAATTTTGCAAAACAAAGGAGAAGGAATCAAATTTAACATGTTCTCTTACAGGTAATCTGAATTTAATAAAGACATACTTCTACAAGCATTGGAAAGTTTATCACTAGCACATGAACATGAACACATCTCTCATACAATAATCATATGAATTTCAGAACATCAATTCATATCGCCATGAAAATGATCAAATATTCTACAAAACATGAAGTAATGGCCAGTCTAAATAAAGAAAAAAAGAAACAGCTAGCGGCTAGGCTTTAGTGAACAGTACCCGAATCCTGCAAAGTAAGATAGTGGCTCTTCTTGTGCAGGGCCAGCATAGACAACTTCACCTACTGATAACAGCACTATATCATCAAATTTGGCATAGATTGACCCTCTTGGCTGGTGTATAGAGCAAAGCACTGTATGCCCTTCTTGTGCAAGTTGTCGAAGAGTCTCCATGACTCTTTCTGCCTGAAATGCATCCAACCCTGCACAAAATGGCATTATGACCAATGTTTCTCATTCATACATGGCCAATAAACATGTAACTTTTGCACCTGTTTTTATAGTTTGAAGTAATATCTAAACTCAGTTGGGATTGCAATACGATTTATATTTGACTGCTAATGTTTTAAATTTGGACTCACAGTTTTGCCTTTCAAAATCTTTTATAGCATGAGAGTTATGCTTCTTAGGCATTCAAACTCTTTTGATAGATTTTACTCAGGCCCAGTAATATCGTCAGCAATTTGAATCTCCTTGGGATATTCCAACCAAGCAAACATTTGATGGCAATCATTAAGAGCAGTACACGTTCACTAATTATGAGAACCACTTAAGGTGAAAGCAAGTCTCTTTTCCAAGAATATCAATGCCAGTTGTGGTAACTAAAATATAGCCAACGAGAACTTCATATTTTGGAAACTAGTATGCTGGCTAGTTTGGGATTTCTGGTTGTCCATGGGACTCATTCCCATCCTGGAAACTCTTAACAGAAAACTTGCTATGCCCAAACAATTTATCAAAGAAATTTTGGGAATGCATGGTCATGCAATCCTCCCATTAGATTGCAGATTCCTTCACTAAGCTTAAGCACTTAGTGAACATGTCGTTGCTTAGTCTATTGATACTCCAGTTTGAGGATATAATATGAGAAAGGCGTGCATAAATATATGTACAATGTATTAGGGGCAGGTTGGTTGCAGTTGCAATCTCCTTCTTAAAACGAGATTTCAGCCAAAAATGTCTCCTAGGCATAGGAATGTGGCTTCACACCTACATAGGTATGACGTAGTTTTCAACAATGGGTGTGAAAGTGTTGTGCTTTTCCATGCGCTACAGACATGTAATCTCATTGAAATCTCCTTGGAAGCAGATTTCAACCAAAAACAGACATGCCCTGCACGAACTTTTGCCCATAACTGAGAGGGTGTAATATTGACTTTTCTTACAATGGGAGCCACTGGGTGTTCTCCACGACAAATTCACATATTATCAGTTGGCATCCTCTTATGAAATATCAACATGTAGTTGTACTGATATTTTGGACTATTAATAAGTGCCAACTTTACAATTCAGTAAAGAGGCTACAGATTCAAATGGTCTCTAGAGAACCACATATCTAGCCTCTTATTATCAATCGGTAGCTTTCACAAGCCGTATTTGATGTATGTACAAGGTTGATCCACCTTAATAACCAACAAAACAACCATTTGCTTGTAAGTTGTAGTTTTCAAGGGTTCACAAGTCCTGTTACTCCAATAACTACTAAGCAATCATATCCACAACTGACTTGGGGATTAAATATTACAAGGAAATTACTTTAGCTTACCAGATTCAACAAAAACAGTTTATAGTATCCTCCTTATGGATGAAGGGGTTTCTATGTATCTGATATGAATGGCTAAAACGATACAAGTTTACCAAAGTAAATTAGACTCTTAAAAAGACTTCCTGTGCAAGGAGGTTTCAATATTCCAGCTCCTCCCTCCTTCACAAGATTTTTGTGTAACCCAATTGTGACCTTTGTTTGGTACTCTTATTCTTCTTTTTAATTTGATTGTTCATATGCTAGGCCTATTTCATTGTGTCATTCACCGGATTGGAAATAATTTTATATGAAGGAACTTGGATACCCTCATTATTTCTTAACTATTTAGGCAGCCAGTACTGAGGCTCATTGCTTCCTCGGACTCAATAGCCATGAATCCATTATTCCATATTGATATGCTTGACTGTAAAACGGTAAAAAATAATAGAAGTTAATCTTTGATTTTCCCCTATGTTGACCCTTCTCCTTATCGAAGTATTGTTGGTTGTCTGCACTTTGCAGTATCTTTCTTAGGTTTTTTCACTCAGATCCTGCTTATGATTGTTGATAGCGCTTTCCAATAATACATTTTCTAGCTGGAATCATAGCCATGGTATGGCAAGGGTATGTGAATCATTAACATTTGTAGCGGACATCATCTATTCACATGCTGACGATTTGGATGCTAGTTTGGTAATCATTGACAAATCCAACTCTTTAATATCTGTTTCTGGGGACCTACAGAATTGTGATAATCTTAATTCCATATACATTGCTTCCAATTTCAGATTTCCATAGTGACAACTGGTTGATGCATTTGCTAATCCAGCTCACAAGGATCACTTGTGGTGGCTCCAGCGATCCACCATGATTACGTAGTTCTCCTTATATTTTTATATTTTTTTCTATTTGGTAATAACATCATTTGCATTTGTACTCATTTGTACTTCCAAAACACTCCCTCTTAAGAGTGGATTTTAAATATTTTTTTTTGAGAATTGGTTGACTTTCAATCCATGAATATTATTCTCACCATGGATGGATTGAACCACACGATCTAAGTATCTGCAATATAATCGCAAAACTCATATTTTTATCTTGTCTTAAAGGGCTATTAGGATTTAGTGCCCATGTTCCTCCCTTTTAAATACCAATATAGCACGGATTCTAACCAAAGAGTTCAATGCTGAACCTGGACTCTCAAGAAAACATGGCTTTGCAGCATGCATCAGAAACTTTCTAACGAGAATTACACAACTAATTGTACAGTCTCTAACATAGTAAGAAGAAATGATAAGAGAGATTTATATCTGAAGTGCTCTTTCTAATTTGCATAATATGGTAGCTTGGAGCCTATGTACCATAGTTGTAAGAGTTTGTATAGATAAACCTGCTGATAAGAATTTTTGGGTCCAAAAAGGGCCAAGTTAACCCCATAATCATCTAAAAACAAAAAAAAGTAGGCTTCATAGCCAAAGGAAGCTGTATGACAACGGCCTCTCCTGAAACATATGTTAAGAGTGTTTGACAAAATTGAAAGGCTCTCAAATTACCTAATCAAATAATTATATTTATTGTGCTTCACTTAAAATGTCCCATTCCTTGCATAAATCAACTCGGAGCATAAAACTCCTTAGACCGTCTATGCAAGGATCTGGTCACATAAATATCTAAGAAAATGTTGACAATGAGAAATTAGTTATAACCATTATAAAGAAAAAAAGAAGTCATACTTTCATATCATCACAAACTCTACGGCCAGTTAGTCTCACATGCCCATGGGAGAGCTGGAGATGGATTTCATAGTCCAAGAGATTCCAGAACACTCACTACCTGTATCTTGTATTTATTTTGTTGAGTTGATTTTGTGCAGACTTGGCTCTGCAGTAACTTACAGCTTATTGAAGCCTCAAAGAAGACGGATTTTCTGATTTCTAAAACATTCAAGCTCTTCAACTTTCACCCAAAGAGTTGAGGAGTTTACACAAAGACGTTTTTTAGGCCACACAGAGTCTATCCACATGCACATAAGACACCCGCAACAGCTACGCAATTCAAAAACCCTTTGGGGAAGATTATCACGCCACATAATACTCTCTTCCACATAGCTAGGTGACCCTTTAAGCATGTAAACAGTATCCATATAACACAAATAGGAATGATAATACTGGATAAAAAATGTTTAATTTTTAACTAAATAAATATGAAGAATCTTTGGGAAAAATACTTGCAAATTTTTTTTTTTTACCAGTGGTAGGTTCATCTGCAAATATGACAGACGGGCTAGCAATAAGCTCACATGCAAGTGACAACCGTTTCTTTTCACCACCACTTATTCCACGTACTTTGGCATCACCAACAACCGAATCTGCACAATTTACCTATTTTACATAGAAAATGGACAAACCATATCAAGAAGTGAATCTGTTACATATAGTAGGATTTCTAAGTTTTTATGTGCCTGGCCTAGGACCACAGCACTAGATCCTAATGACTTATGTCCTTTGGCATTTAATTTATGGATAAAAGGAGAACGAGAAGATAAAACCGTTATCAAACATATTGCATCCACAAGAGCATTGATGTTGCAATTATCAAAACCAACCTATGATAGAAAACCAGTCAAAGTGATGTTCAATAAGATCCAATAAATACTCCTGTCCCAACCATGTGGTTTACTAAACGGTTATTAAGAACCGAGGAAGGAACTTAGAAAACACCAATGTGAGATTTGCACTTACAGAGACCATTGATGAGAGTTATATAAACAAACAACACTTTAATCAATAGGAATAACGATGGTACTTGATAATTACTGTTTCATATCTTCCTTTCCATCATATATTAATAGAGAAATGAAAAGGTTAGGAAACATTGCTCTGGAGAGGAAAAAGCAAGTTAAGATGACATTAACTCCTAAAGACCCAAGCCATTCTGGTTTACATGCTTATTTACAAGTTATCCAATATCACATTCGCCTTAACCCTAAGAACATATTTACTTGATACAAGATACTCAATTTCTAGAAACAATTCTTCGAGACTCAACGGCAATGAAAGCCTCCTCTGGGACATTGGATGACATTTAATGTATCTCCTTCCATTAGACCAGACTATGAAAACCACCCACCAGTATCAACATGGGATAGATTTGCTCTAGCCTATATGGGTTCCACATAAAAATAAGTGTTCTTACAAAAATATGATCTATGGTGTAGTATGAGGTCACTAACCACTTCCAATCAACTCATTCACCAGCAGACTTAAGAAACATCTAATGAATTCAAGTAGAAGGAATAACAAATCAAATTTCTTTACATACAATGAATATTAGGCAGTCGATTTATACAAGTCACTTACCAAACCCAAACGGAATAATAGATCGTCCACATATCTCTCTCTCTCTATGGGTGATCTCAGTGCAGGAAGCTGGAGCTCAGCAGCTAGAGATAGTGTTTCGCGCACTGTTAGTTGAGAGAAGAAAAGATCCTCCTGTCTTACATAAGCTATCCTAATAAAAGGAAAAAATATATGAATCATGAACAGAGACAAGTCATCCCCAGCATTTAACTGTAATAATCCCGAAATTACTCAGCAAGATAATAGGTATCATAATTCATAACAGCAAATAAATAGTAACAACAACAGCAGCAGCAGCAAGTAACACGATACCGAAAATAATTTCTTAAACCAAATAAACTTACTTAAAAGACGCATTACATGTGGGCCGTCCATTTGCATGGAGACAGCCCATAAGTCGAAGTCTTGGTGATGCTGAAAGTTGGCCAGCAAGAACATTAAGCAATGTAGTTTTTCCTGATCCTGAAGGACCCATGATTGCAAGAAGCCTTCCTGGTTTGGCCTCTCCACTGACATTCTTAAGCAAATACCTGACCTAACTTCCATAAAAAAAAAAAGGGGGAAGAAAAGAGAAAAAGAAAAAGAAAAAAAGTAAAGAATCCCAAAACTGAACCTGTCAACCTTGCCTAGTGGTAAGGTTCAGATATTCCAAAAAAAACATGAAAATTAACTTTAAAAAATGGCCTTCTTAATGCATGGAGAAAGGTGGGTTTACTGATGAAATCCAATGGACAGTATATATTCATGAGTAATAGAATTCACCTTGGCACTTATTTCTAGAAATTTATTAAATTTGGCAAGACATTTCAAACAACTATATAAGCTGAACGAAGCAATACTTGCTGTTATATTTTTGTAGTGAAATTTATGATGGGTTGCAGCCCCAATTCAAGCATAAATAGTGGAATCGGGGACCTTAGTAACAGTTATGATTCAGGGAGGTCCTTATTATCGATAGTTTACCTCAAATTTGTGGCTAAAAAAAGAATGGGAAAAAATTATTCCAGCAACGTGAAAAATGTTTTTTTTCCCTTGAAAACACCATATCTGTAATGAATATACACTATTAGAAAACAAATTTAATCAAGTTGCAAATGTTTGGTTAATTATTGGTAAAATTATCAGGTATATTAATTTGGAAAGAGAATATCGCACTAAAAACCAAACCAAATAGAAAAGAATATCTTATTTACTCAAATTTTATTGTTTTAAAGGAATTAAAAACACTGATAAAAGATTCTGCATCTAAAAAGAAGGGGTAAATACATTTATTATAGTTTTTGAAGTTTATCCCAAGTTACCAGAAAAGAATACAGAAATACCAGAAAATTACCGGTTTCCCAGCCTTATTTAGCCATGAGCAGGTGATATTAGACCACTGCAAGGTCAGGGGAGAAATTTTTCCGGCGATTTCAGCTTCTCCCTGGTCGTCATTTTGGCCGGAATCCTTGTCTTCAGTGTCATTTTCCGGCGAAATAGACGGACCTGGAGATGATAAGATTCGGACTAGAAAAGCGGCAGCCAAACCTACGATTATCTGACCCATTCCACCCCGTGCAACCCCCATTAAGGTCACCATTTTTGCTCAGCTCTCTCTCTAACACTGTTTTTGTTTCACACACTCTCTCTCTAAACAGCAAGCTTTCAGAGTCTGCACCTTGAAGTTTTCAAAGTGGTGCTGATCATCAGTGCGAACTTCATGAAGTGCCCCTAAACTTAACTGAAATATCGAAATTGCCTTTCTATTTGATTAATTTCACACCTAGATAGGAAAAAGCATATAAAACGGGCGAACCAATTACTTATCGTACAAGTCAGTCGCAATTAATTTTGATTTTTATTGACTAAATTTAAACTTCAATGATTTTTATTGATTAAATTTAAACTTCAAAAGAAATTTTTTCAAACTTTGACACACCTAAGCTATTGATTTTCATATTGGATGGTTGTAAGTAATTGTGACCACTTTATATCAAAGTAAATTGTCTTATTATATGCAATCTTAAATAAATCGTATCTTCAAATTTTAATTAAAAATAGAATTTTGATGTTTAAAAATTTTATTACTCAATTTTTTTAATCCTAATTATAAAATTTAGAGTTTAAAAATTGGAAAAAGTTTATATAGAGCCTAGGCTCTAAACAATAGTCCACCTCAAACATTTTACTAAAAGGGGGTTGTTTTGATGCCCAAATTAATCATCTCGACATCAAGATGCATGGAGATGAGGAAAAAAAAAATGAATTCCAAGTTTTGGAAATAATGCATCTTGTAATGCTTTTTTGGACTGTCAAGTTTCAAGATTTTCAAGTTTTCATAGAACTGCTCGATCTACACTATTTTTTGAAGCTTTAAATTTTATTTTTTGAAGTTTTAAATTTGATCAATAAAGATAAAAATATATTAAGGCTATCACAAAGATTTCCCATATTGAAACCACATTTCTGAGCACAAGTTGAAGGTGCACTTTATTTTGATTGTTTGGAGCCTCAGCTCTATACAAACTGCACCTTTAAAGTAAATTGCATCTTCAAATTTTAATTAAAAAAAAAATAGGGTTTGGTGTTTGGAAATTTTATTACTCGAATTTGTTTTTTCAATCCTAATTATAAAATTTAGAGTTTAAAAATTGGAAAAAGTTTATATAGAGCCCAGGCTCAAAACAATCAAATTAGAGCCTACCTCAAAAATTTCACTAGAAGACGTTGTTTTAATGCCCAAATATCCTCAAAATGATCATCTCAACATCAAGAGGCATGGACATGAGAAAAAAAATGGATTTCAAGTTTGGCAAGTGTATCTTGTAACGTTTTTTTGGATCGTTAATTTTCAAGATTTTTCAAGTTTTCATAGATCTGCTCGATCTACACTATTTTTTAAATCTTTAAATTTTATTAGTAAAGACGGAGATATATTTTAAAGCTATCACAAAAATTTCCAATATTGAAATAACATTTCTCGGCACTATTTGAAGGTGTGCTTTACTTTGATTGTTTAGAACCTCATCTCTATACAAACCGCACCATTAAAATTTGTATTGATCAAACAAATCTATAAATTTTTGAATATCTTGAATATGGATCGTCCAAATAATATGTTAGAAGATGAACTATATTGAGGACTTTTTTTTTTCCAGCCTTAGTAAATTTTTTGGATGAATTTTTGAGATGCACCTTACTTCTACGATATAAGGTTGAGGTTGACACCTTACTTTGTCGTTTTGGTTTTATAATACGGTGACAATCAACTATAGATGTTAAATAAATGTGAATGAATGTATAACTGAATTGGCTCCAAAAAATAATGTCATGATACTAGAATAGCAAAAACATATATGGTATGTATTAAATCTAGCGACTAGAAGTATGCCACTGATTGGGGAAAGTCTTTGACAAAATTTTTAGAACTTTGACATGCTTCAAGCAGTGAAATTTTATATGTGAAGGGTAGCGATGATTGTGATACCCTTGTACCAAAAATAAATGTTATATGTGATGGCTAGCGGTGATTGTGATAGCCTTGTACCAAAAATAAACGTTTTGATGTATGTCTGTCGTATCTTACTTTCATATCTAAAACTCATTATAATTACCTCAAGTGAACTCCTATTGATTCTCAACCTTAATAAAGTAATTAAAAAAGAAAATCTGTAAAATCAACTCAAGATTAAACATACTATCCAAAATGTGGACCGTAGATCTAATTACTTAGAAACTCAAAATCTAATTTTTAGAGTATTATCCAAAAGGCTGAGCTGACATTGCAGACGACCGGATTATTATTCATCGAGTGGTAATTTTACAAGACCCATTTCGATCTCCCTGGAGAAGACCATTTATTATGTAAACCTTTAGGAAGAGAGGACCCCCACCTCCTCATACAATGGACGCAGCCAATGATCACTCCGCTTTTCCATTCCCATGGCCCATTTTATAGAGCTTTACCTCCCATTTTCCTCTTTTTTCCCGATGCGGGACTTCCTTTTGAACAATTGATGGACAAATAAAACTTCTTATCCAACCATGTATATCGAGCATTTTTTGCAAAATCGCCTGATCTACCGCTAACTGCCCGGTTAGATCCGGTCAGTGGCCGGTTCCGATATTGGGCGGTTAGGGTGATCAATCGATATTTAAAAATAATATGTATATATATTTTTAAAAATAAAAAAATTTATTTGTAATGTATTTTTAAATATTCTTTACATTATGGTAAAGATTAAAAATTGTTTTGGTCATCAATACTCATTTTTATATTTTCCCATCTTTTTTAGAAAATTTTAAAAGTAGCTATTGAGAAATATAAAATGGGTTAAAATCTATTTTTTTCATTAATTTTCAACTTCATTTGAATGTTTTTTGTTTTAATTATTCTTTATATGCTTTTCATATTTTAGTACATTTTATTTATTTATTTTTTTAACACTTTTTTGATTGTTCGGTACTTGCCCAATTAAAGTGGTTGAATCAGCCGGTTTACCGATTAGACTGGTTAAACCGCTTCCAAACCCATGTCTATTTCGGTTCGATTTTACAAACACTCATATCGAATGGGCTTCTGTTATGAAATTTTTTGGCTTGTGCATAACTCGCCGGTATGGAAATTGCATTCAATTTTCATTAACTTGCCGAAGGTTTTGGGACAACAAGGGGAACAATAAAATTGGGGCTTTATACATGGAATCAAATAGAAACAATCAAGAGCCAAGGACTATCCCGAAATAGGGGCATGGAATTTCGGCATATTTCCCCTGACTTTGGTGGATATTTCTTCTTTGAAATGGCGGTTGACCTTTCTACCCTTACTTTGACATTTTCATTGAAAAAGTGATTTTTTTTTAAAATAAACAAATTTCCATACGCTTTGGGTTATGATTTATAGGGAAATTCTAATTTTATGAAAAAGTACTGGAAAAATAACGTATATATCCACTATATTTATCATTATTACATGATTATTTTCAAGTTTTTGTTATTACCTTTATACTCATTTTTTTACTATTCAAACAATTTTTATTAACAAAGACAAACATGCTCATTTTCGGTTTTTCAAAAACCAAAATAGGACTAAAATCGGTTTTTCTAAACATGTTGCAGTCTTTAAACTATTTTCCCTAGTTTTTTGGTTTTTCAAAATCGAAATGGGACTAAAATAGGATTTTCAAAAACTAAATTTCTGATGTATTCTTTAAACTATTTTCTTTAGCTTTTGTGGTTTTTTTTTTTGGGTTGGGGGGCGAGATTGGTCACTTAGAGAGAAACAAATGATTCATGAAGTGAAGGTGTGTGGAGAAGAGCACCTATTATGGTTGGCTTGATGATGAGGATAGCTTCGTTCCAACCAGTGTTCAAAACAACGAATCAGGCCGACTAGTAGGTCTTAGCCTGATCCGATTAGCCCGATCGGTTTCAACTTGATCGGCCGATTAGTTCTCCTATTTTTGTTTTTCCCCTAAAAAATGCAGTATTGGTAAAAAATTGCAAAAAACTCAAAAAATCCCAAAAAAATCTCAACAAAATTGTAAAAAATGTTTAAAATTTACATGTATTGTTTTTTTATATTATCACATTAAAAAGAAAAAAAATAAAATATTATAAGTATAATTGGATTTCGGAGAAAATGATTAGGCACCTGAAGGAATACTTTTTTTTTAATGATTATTAATATATATTTATATATTATATTATATTATATATTATATAATATGTAATCAATATATACTATACAATATAAATTGTATTAATAAAATAAATATAAATATAATATAATATGATATAATATTATAAAATATTATAACATTTCAACTCAAGACCACGTTTATTTTTTTGGTATTTTTGAATTAAATTAAAAATATAAGTAAAATATAAAATTGTTCGTCTCTTTGTGACAATTTTGATAAATTTCCATCTTTCTCTCATATCAGTGTCTATGTGTATGTCTATGTACCCCTCCGGGGTTGTTGGTGTATGTATTAGATTGAAGATCAGATAAACAACGAATAAATTTTATATCCCCTGAGTTGAGGGACCTATGGGCTTGGCACCCTGATAGGCTTGACCAACTCTGGTGCATCTGAGTCATAAAAAAAAAAAAAAATCTAATAATATATAAAGTTTTAAGTAGAGAAATAGAAGAAAGAAAATTGTTTCATACGAGTTGGATTGCATTTCTACAATATGTGGCCTAGAGGTATAAAGCATCCATCTTCAAGAAGGATGCGAATGGGTAGACCATCTAAAAACAAGTGTAACTAGCGGTTTAAATGTTTTCTTAATATAATTATTATTTTTAGTTTTCAATTTTATTTTTATTTTTTTTATTTTTTTATATTCGTGATTTCCATGTTAAAGATTATATATTCTCTAAAAATTAGGATCAAATTATATTTTAAAAATATAGTTATTGCCAAGCCCACATGTCTACAATATGCGGGCTGGGCAGCATAGAAACCGTGTGTCCATAGAAGAATAGGGAAAAGAAAAAAAAGAAAAAAATATTATAAGGACAAGCTTTGTAAAACTCTGCAGTGTAACAATGCACTTATTGACGATTTTTAGAACAAATCACCGATTAGTTCACTAATCAGCCGATTAATACCAATTAGTTCCGATAAGTCCGATTAATTGGCCGATTAGTGCACTGAAAAAAAATTCCTGCATACATGACC